ATACAGTCCTGATAGCCTATCAAGACTGTATCACTTAAGTAATCAGACCCGATTCATTGACTTTGGGCAGTACTACTGTATCAGCATGATAATTCTTGGCTGTGTAGAGTTTTAGGTTATACAATAATAACTAACTAATAGAATCAGCTGCTGCTTGGTTCATCTTTTCTACTGCATTGCATAACATTGTCCAGTTTGCTCCTCCACGTTTATTAACATCATCTAATCTCATCAACCATTTTGAAATACACTCCCTAAGTTGGTCTTCCGATTTTGTGTTGTCCGATTTGATAGTATTCAGTGTCCGATGATGCAAACCTGATTCCAGACTAACGCCAAAATAACTTTCATCAGAAAACCCTCCACTCTTCAAATCATTTAATACTTCATTTAAATTTTTAATTGCAAGTCTATGGTGTGATGCTATACAAACAAATTAATGATAAATAATTATAACAATATAGTTTATAGTTTTATTTAATGTCACTAAACTTTAAATTACCAAATACATCTAGCTAAATGTAATTAGAGTGAAAAATTATCAAAATTAGCTTATAGGATATAATTTGTGAACTACTAAATAAAGGCAGCCTAATAACCAACAGCTGAAATATTTGGTGCAATTAATTTTCGCCCCTGAACTTCATTAACCAATTTTTTTAATTTTCAAAATACATAAAAGTGTCAATTTTTATGGGCCATAATAGTATAAAATATTAAAGGTCAATGCACAGTCACATTATGAATGGGAATAATGTTTACTGTAAACTATTATTATTATTGTTTATATTATAATTTTATCCTATATATAATAATGATACTGACAAGAGTGGATTTTTCACTTTAATTTCTCTATCATTATATAGTTACATGTATTAGTTGTACCTTTAATGTTTATGGATGAACTTGAAATTAAAGATACTGCATCATTCTTTAAAATGACATTTTGATGTTCATTGTCAAACTGTCTGTTAGTAGCAGCAGCAGCAGTAGAGCTGGAGTCTAATTTAAATTAATATAATAATCATTATAATATTATTGACTGACTTATTGATAGAAGAGGAGGTGATCTGTTGATGTAAATTAGTATTAAAGGATCTATTCCAGTTAACTCAATGAGACAATGAAGTGAATAAGAGCAATACCAGGTTTAGCATACACTGACATACTGCAAGTTGCATATGAGGGAGTTAATCGAAACTTGTCAACTCTTGACTGAAATACCGGTAACTAAATGTACAAGAAATAAATATTTTTAGGTAAAACTGGGTTGAGGTACATGTACATGTACTTACTTTCATTGGATTCCTTATAGGATCAACAGACTATCCAAACCTACCGTTCAGTGCCTAGTGTCAATTCAAGAGTTCCAATTGGTTGAATAAAACTTAAATGAGTCAACAACATCATCATATTCAATATTTGATGCCTGTTTGCTTTCCAAGTGCTGTATGAACATAAAAAACAAAAAAAAAATAATTTTTATGCATTGGTATGCATATATGTATACATTATATGCCGTTTTAGGAACTTCTAAATCTCTAACAACAGAATACATAGCTTTCCAATGACCAACTTCTTTCTTATCATAGTACATCATTCCAGAATACAATGTATCACAAGAAAGAGCTATAAAAGCATATATTAAGTATTTGTAATATTGTAATACATACAAAATACCATTATTGTCTGAATGTACAGTGGAATGATCAGTAGAGTATTGTAGTGATTCATCATCATTCCTTGCTGGACACTGTACACTGGATACAGTAGCTGTAGGCCCATCAGAATCACTTAGTACATGATCTGACTGTTGTACTGTTGGTTCATCAGTATGGGATTTTACTTCATGGACTAACTGAAAAGAATCATCATTAATTGAGTCTATAAGGTAAAACATAACATGCAGTATACGTGATACAGTTACATACCATGAGGTGGTGTAGTATACTTGTTAATGGAGTGGCTCCTCCTCCACTACTATTCTCTCCTGCTCCATTACTGCTATCATTAGGTGTGTCTCCATTAGTCTCCCCTCACACTCATTATTTGTTCCTATACATCATACAAATTACAAACACATCAACAGTGAACAAACACTATTGTATACCTTGAGTTGGTGTTTCATTCTCTGATCCATTCCCACCTCCATTAGGTGGGTCTCCATTACCAACATGTCCAATACCAAAAGCACAGAATTCATCACGTTCAATAGAACCATATCTGTTCCCTACACTAAAAGATCCTCCTTCAACTACACTAAACTGGTAAGCATTGGGAGACTTCAGTGGAGCTCTCACAAACTTGAGGCAACCAGTCTGACTAGTGTTCCTTAGATCCACACAATGTAGCTCTATTACCAGTGATTTTAATAGTGCCTTAGATACTAATATTGCATAATTATACTGCACTCACTAGCACAGTACTTTTGGGTATCTTGATATTACCACCAGCTAGTGCAGTAACAGCTACTTCAGTATCCTTGGACACTGCTCCTTGAGGACACTCTAATCTGAATCCATATTTTTTCTCCATGGAGTGAGTGATATAAATTGTGACCTTTTGGTCGTATTTCAAAAAAAAATTTCAAAAAAAAGATCTGTCTCCTTGTAGGATAAAGAGCTTCTGTCCAGCTATAATGACACTAGAGTCTTAGTAGTAAATCTGAAATAATACAGACACATCATATTTAATACCAGTATAGTACACACACAATCATTCACATGTGTACATGTACATGTATATAATTTACTCATTGAAGGGATCAGGTAATTAAATTGTAGTCCATCAAAGCATCTCTTGATGGATTGTTCCTCTAAGGAAGTGACTCTCTCCAGTAGTTGTGAGTTCTCCTTTATTAGTTTGGTTGCATACAATTCATTATCAGACACTTTAACTCTATAAATAATAATAACAATTATTAGTAATTGATGATGATACACTAACCAGTAATGATCTGTTTCTCATTCTGAGATTGTTCTTCTACTTGTGATGTCAGTTTGGCTATACATATGTCTATTCTCTGAAACGTCAGTTTTCAGATTTTGATTGTCATCTACACAATAAACATATTACATACTGTGTGTATACTAACAAACCAATAATAATCTGTTTCTCATTGAGGTATAGTTTCTCATTCTCTTCTAATAGTTGAGCAGCTTTGAGTTTAAGTTTCTCATAATCTTCTACATGAGCAGAATATTCTCTCATCTAATATTATGTACTGATGATACGCTAACCATTAATAATCTGTTTCTTCTCCTCTATACTTGTGTCTTCTCTTCAAACATTTCAGCGACTTTAACTTTAAGCTTTTCAAAATTTTCTATCATCAACAAAAAATGAAAAAAAGAAAACAAAATGAATTTGCTGCTTATATACAAATTTGCACTGCAATGACTGCATGTACAGTAGCCCATGAATACATGTACTATGATTATTGCTAATGATACCATATATGGTAAGCAGAGTTCACTCTACATGAATATTATTATTTCTAATGCATGGACAATTTGACCTATATTGAGTACAGGATACTATTTCCATACTCAACATTGTCCAATCCACTAGTAATATAATGTAAACAATGTACACATAAACAACAGTACAACATAATGGTACCTAATTCAACACATGATTTATCCTTTTCTGTTTACTCAAGGAGAGTGGTAACATGCAATGTTTGAGCTAATTCTGAAACCCAAAGCATTAAGTTAAAATAGAGTATTACACTGATATAGATTTACCAGTTTGTGTATAGTATCAGCAGGTATAGTACAAAAAATGGAGCAATAGCCAAAAGATATGGATACTGAGTCGACAATAACAACAATAATCAGAGAAGTCAGAGAACTCTTTTGTGTGTGCTTATATAAAAATTAAAGAAATGAGATATAGAATGTTCTTTTCAGGCAAGCCTGTGTCAGTACATATTGAGCAATAGTAGTGTTAAGCAAAGTGAAAAATTGTAATTGTGTTGTAGAGGCATGCATGAGAGATAAAGTGCTAATAATTAATAAATGTAAATGAACAATCAAGTTGCTGATTAAATTGCCTTTTCTTGAAGAAGCTGTTGCTGCTCTTTGTCTCGATCTTGCTGTGTCTGCTCCTTCTCTTTTATTTCTCTTTGAAGCTGTTCCTCATAGAATTCTCTATCACTTTCTTGTAGGGGACCTCTGATTAATTGAACCTCTTTTAAATTCTCCAAATCACTCAGTATCCTTCTTAGTTGATCTTGATACTGGTCCAGAGGTATTACACTAGTAGACCAATCATTATCACTAATATATCCTATACAGTAACAAAATAGTGGATACACAAATTAATTACAGTTCATTACTATGGTAAACTTATTATTGATGGATTCATGTTTAATCAGTGTATGTGTAACCTCTGACCTCTGTCAGTTTACACAGCTAGTTAACCACATGAACATCTTATTGTATATAAATACACTGATAATAATATTTCATTCACTCTAGCTCCTATTATTATCAGTCTTTCTGTATCTGCAGTCATTATATTTTACTATTGTACATAGCAGGAATGAATTGGTAATAATTAGTATCACTGGGTATACATCAATGCCTTCATTAAATATTCATCATAAAATTACTTACTTTATTATAATATTATTATTACTAAGTATCATGATATATTCAATACACATTTTGTATCTACTACCTTAGGGTGGGTATTAATTGCGACACTTAATTTTAGCATTTTTAGCCAGTGTACTTTACAATGCTAATTCAACCAGCCGCTAATAATGAGTTATTATGTACTTGTGTAAACAAGTACATGAGATAGGCAAGATCTGTAACAAGATAACAGTAAAAAGGGTGATCCTATAAAGACTAGTATTCTGCTCTTAAATGTATAGATTGGGCTTCTTGAGTAGTGTTATGCTATTGGATGGGGATTTTACTATTGATTTTCTTCCTATTTTTGCTAATATTACATTTCGCTAAATCAGGGTCCCCTCAGTTAAAAACGCTAAAATTTAAGAGCGCAATTAATACCCATGCACCCTAAGGTACTTTCTACACGCACTTACTGAGTTGAATAACTGCTGTATCAGTATATGATGTCCATCCTCCAAACTCAATTATCCAGTTAGTAGTTGGGGTCACACTCCACACTGAGAGAGAATGATCATATCTTTTAGTAACATTGTCTGGTAGATTAATCTATAAAATTAAAAAGATAATAATTAATTTATGTATGACACATGTTAATTGATTTGATATCTGGTTAATAAACACAATAAACTCATAGTTTTATAGTCGGCACAGCATGTTTTGTGTAACACAAATGTGACATAATTAGTAATACACAATAATAGACAAGTATACACAACTGAGTGTGTTATTATATCATGTGAGTCCTCAATTAAGAACTAATGAAGTGTCTGCATGTACACACATACATGTACATACACATCTATAGACCCTTTCAGGCGAGAAGTAGTAGCTTGTGAATATCATTAATATCATTATGTCTCATAGTTACAATATACGCCCAAACAAAATAATTGGCTGCCATGTTTTACATCAAGCATCAAGTGCTTTCTGTGTCCTGGAGATCCTGGTCACTACATTTTGAAGCTAAAAACTATTCTAGAGTCAAGAAAGATGCCACAAAAGCCCACCTAGGAAGTATAGTGCAATACTCTTGTTGTATGAGCCTACTTTCCTCTTTGGGCTGTGACAGAGAGTCAAAAACTGATGGTTCTGGCTCTCCCAGACTTCTTAAGTCTTCAAAATATCTTGCTATAGTAAAGAACAGTTGACATGAAGCCTCTCATCGTACTGAGTTGAGCACAACAAAACTTTTTTTTGCAAAACAAATCTACCTTAGGCAGTTCCAATTAAATTACTTGTTTTACGGATTTTTTTTCTCTAAAATAGAGCAGGTCGGTTGGAATAAATTAAATTATAAACATTAAAATTAATTAACTACTCATTAATTAACTTTAATAATTGTTAGTTAACCACACTCTAAAAAAAAACTATCAAAATACTCTAGCAACTTCTTAACATGAATGGCTGCTCTAACAAGTCCCAAAAAGTAGATGCCACAGAGGTTTCACATACAGTGGAAGGTAAGATAGAGGAGCTTGCTCTTTTAACAGTAACAAATACATTTAGCGCCATTTTGAATCTAGCCACACCCACCACGTGGTACTGCGCATGCGCATTAGAAAATTTAAATTTATTTTGATTTTACAAAAATTGGAGTCGGTCGGATCCGTAAACCAAGTAATTTTATTGGAACTGCCTTAGAGTGACTTTTTTGCTGGTATTAAAAATTGCGATTAAGTAATTATTACTAATAGTTATATGGCATCATGATGTCATTATTAATAATTGCGTGTATTAATAATTGCAATTTTTAACCCAAACGCAAAATTTGCAATTAATAGTACCCGCATTTAAAAGTAACCTTAAGGTATACTTTGCACATCAGCCATTGGAACTCTGCATAACTTTGACGTAAAACATGGCAGATAAAAACCCATTTGATATTATTTCTTTGTATATAGAATAGATATACGGTATAACAAACTAATTCTCGCCTAAAAGGGTCTATAGATGTATAGACATATAAAGGTACATGTAAATCATGCATAATTGCTCACACACATGTACATGTTACATGTACACATAAAATACGTGTTAATAACTTAGTACACACATACACATAATAAAATATATGCACACATACACACAAATGCATGTATGTACATATACAATGTGCACAATGTATATAAAACAGAATATATTTTAATTCCAGCATTGACAGTGCATCAATTTTGAATCCATCTTTACACAAACACAGACACATGTATATTCACACTATTTAGGTAAAGAAGCAAACACAAAACACAAAAAGACCAAAATACACATTCACACTAAAAACAGACACACACACATACAGAATACCAGCATTAATTATTGATCAGTATCAAACATCATATATTAATACTTACCAGTATTTTCCAATTTCTTTTGCTAATGTCCAGTAAGCATACATCAGAGACAGAACGTCCACCCACCACTAGTAAGTGTGGTCCTGAACTAGTGGTAATGAGTACACTGGAATGGCCCCATCTTCCCTTAGGCCATTGTACTGATCCTCCAGGATTAGGTACTTCTAATATATCCTGAGAGAATAATTAAGTAAAGAAAAAATCTTTTAATTGCAATTTAAGTGGAAACCCACAATCTCATAACGAAACCCATTCTACAGTATTAGCTTAGCACTGATGTCTTAGTGAAACTTATCATATACAGTTTATTATTGGCTCCATTATAGGTAGAGCCTCCAAACATTACCGCAGTGTTATTAGTAACTAGTGTTAGGGTGAAGTGACTAATTGGAGGTGGTCTGTCTCCAGTAACAACAGGAGATATCCATTGATCTAATAATAATGTACAAACATTCATGTACACTTACTTACCACTTACACACACATGCATTATACACATTCATGATACATATGAGTAAACTATGTGTGTGTAAATTATTATTTATACATACACATCATGCATAGACACACATCACTACCACACGATACACACACACACACACACACACCACCTGTACACCTGAAGTTCTAGAGGTGCATGCCGGGGGTGTTCTTATTTGAAGATTACTAATCTATTTTGGTACATATCAGTTACGACTGTTAATGAATAATTATACAAAACTGATGGAACATTTTATGTGGGTAATTTGTGACTCAGGAAATGCAGAACTCTATTATATAGGCAGTGGCATGTAGGATTGATGTTGGTTTTGCAGGATGGCGGCTGATTTTTCGATTTTCAAACACTTATAACTCATTTATCTTACGTTTTACAGCCATATGCGTGGCGTAAATGAGCTCTCCTTCACTAGCAATTCTCCTGGTACATGCACATGTACCTTTAAAGTGGATTGTAGTGTAGCGGGAATCGCCGGGAACATTTCTGGAGACTGCCCGGAATAGTCTCAAATTCAAAATTCTGCAAAATTCTTCAGTTTTTCTTCTTTCACCTTTCTTCTATCTCCATGGAAATCTTTTGAATAGATCAAGTTGGCTTTTGCATTATTCTTTTGTGCGTGGGTCAAGGACCACAAATGTAGTTTCAAAAAGAAGCAAAGACGGAGAACAAATGAAAGACAAAATCCAGCTGCAGACACCACGTGGGTTTGTGGTTTGATGCCATCAGCATGAATATAATTAACCTAACCACAAAATCATAAATTAAATTTTAAAAAAGAATGGAAGCAAGTAAATAGAAAACATTAAAAATGGAAAAGTAGTAGGATTGATTTGAAAAAAAGTAAAGAAATAAGAGAGTACTTGCAAACTGGTGTGAGAAGAAATTCTACACCACTGCATGATCATTATCCCACAAAAACAGATCTACTATAATAGTCGCACATAGCATCATGAAGCCTTTTTCCTTTATGCAGTGGTGTAGGATTTCTTCTCATACCAGTTTGTAAGTACTCTCTTGTTTCTTTAGTTCTTTCAATTCAATTTAATCTTTCTTTATTTGCTAAAAATGAACCTACACACATGCACACACCCATTAGTTTAAATATGTATAGATTCTTCTACATATACAAGCATGACACATACACAGTTTGTGTTACGTGTGTGTGAGTATTATCATATGATAATACTCACACAGATATAACAAAAGCATGCACATTACAGATACATGTCACATACACACGTCATACATCATTCATAAATTCTCACATACAGTATATGCACTATCATACACAGACACATCATAATGTATGCATTAGTACACACACACACACACACGTCACATATAGACACATGTCACCATCACACACAAACACATGACACACAGAGACACACTAACAAACACACTTAATTATTAACAATCTGTTTTATGTACATTAATATAAACTATTCCGTTTGAAATACTGATCAACTATTGTGCATCAATGATAAGAATTACTGACCTGATAAAATCCTGTAATAATGTATCTCATTACATCTACCATCAGCTGAATACTGAGCATCAGGTTGCTTTGGAGTATTGATAGAATATGATCCCCGGCTTCCTCCAAAAATTATAAGATAGTCTTCACCGTCAAAATGAGCTAATACCATTGCACAGTTGGCCTTCATCATTGGACTATGATCAGAACTAGAAGGAGAGAGCTCCCTCCAGTTGAACGAATCCACATTAATACAGTGCACATTGTTATGAAACCCATTACCAAATCCACCGAAATAATATATGTCCTTCCCTATTGCAACAGATGAATAGTCCCAGGTACCTGGTGGTGGGGTACCAGTAGTAGGTTTCTGGTCCCAAGCACCAGTTGGTAAGTGATACATCTCCATCACATCGTAGTGTACTCTAGACCCGACCCCACCCCACATATATAGGTGGTCTCCTATCTTTACTGTGGAGTGTCTACTTCTCTTCACTGGTTGATAGTCTATAGAGAACAAGAGGTACCAGTAACGGAGTAACAGTAATAAATTATAGTGATGAGTTAGAATAAGGACACAATACAGATGAGTAAAGTAAGTGAGACAAAGAACAAATAAGAGATACGAAAAGAGAATAGTAGCCCTCATAAGGGGTCCGACACATGCCAGAATCCAGTACACTCTGTTGGGAATCCAACTACACGCCCAGTAGTTTGGAGCCTGAATCAGGATGATGATGCTAGCCTGAATTAGCTAGGATGTTGCCCTATCCCTTTGCTTTTGGAGGGGCTGGGCGATGAGACTCGGATGATGCCAGCCTGAATCAGTCCCGAAATCAGTACTGGATCATACATTTTGGGCAATCAGCTATGATACAATCATGAAATTAGTCACAACACAATCATGAAAAGGTTTTGTGCCAGAGTGTCAGGCATGATCGGCAATGATACTTGTCAGGACTGTAACAGTACTGATATCAGACTTGATTTGTTCATTTTGGGCAATATTGCTGATTCAGGCATGATTACTATTGGCTGTGTAGAATCCAGTGAGATCCAAGGTTTGGAATCCAAAATTTTAAAAATTTTAGGCAGAATCCAGAGTGATACAAGCATTTTGTAGCATACTATCTGGAATCCAGCAGAAATCAAGCAACTGAATTAAAAATCAGACTTCCTGTACAAAATTTGAGCCCGTGCTGGACCCCTCGGGTGCTCACTTTTTAAATGTCATTCTTGACTACCCAACAGGGCATGGTCAATTGTGGCAATAATATTAATGATACCTGATTGTTCCTTGTTTGGAATTGAGAGCCTCTGATATTCTGCTTGTGCAATCTCATCACGGGCTATAAGTAAACTTATTGAGTCGGTAGCAGCACAAAATCTTAATATTTCAACAGCTCTGGGAAAAAAATGTACTGACATGCTTTCAGCATTAAAACCTACATACCTTTCATTTGATATCCCAACCAAGCTCTCATCATTTGCCTGCAGCAACTGGTCTCCAATTTTTAATAAACCTATATATAGTTAGATTTGGATTAGGTCAGGCTGCACTTGCTGCAAACCATTTTTATGTGCCAGACGTCCTGTCAAAATATCCTTAATGTAAATACCGGAGCCTTCTCCTGGCTTGTTAGGGTTGTGCCCACTAATTGTAGTTATACCAAGTCCTTCTGTCGTTCCTGTAAGCTCTATTTGAAGAGCTTTCCTGTTGTTTGAAGTATCTGCCATGTTTGAAACGCCCACTTGTTTTGCAGTACATTGAGCCACACCCAATAAGGGTGGAGCTGAATGAACCAGAGATTTCATTTACTATCTATCATCTAATCTATGGATGAAGAGGTCACAGAAAAACTCCATGCTGTCAAAAATGACGGTGGACCGGATGCTTACAAAAGCTGGGCAAAAGATTATGACGAACAAATGATAAACATTTAATCATTTGTTCTACACTGCATAAGTCTACATGTACATGTATTTTTAAACTAACAATGTTGTTTTTGGATGTTCATGTTTTGTTGCTATAGCCTATTATAGGCTACCAGACTGGATTGCCCAGTTAAACATGTTAATTTAACTAAGGATTTAACTAATAATGACTTCATCAAAATGAAAGAAGAAGAGAATTAGGCAATGTTTTAATAATAATGTGTTCTTATTGTCTGTCTCAATTTATCTGTTCTTCCTCCTCTGATTGGTAGGTACGTAATTAGTGGTAATTGGAATCAGTTCAAACTTTCTGCACAACATAAGTACATGCATGTAAACTGTATGTATCAGAAAAAAATGAGCATTAAAAATTTAATTCCTGCTATTTAGACACATCAGCTATAATAGCACATGCTGAGTCTTGAAATGATATAAACAATGCATTAATCCAGTAATGTAGGGCTCCTATTATGATTTTGGCCATAGTAATGATATAAAGCCTTTTCACACTGGAAAAAGTAATGAGCATTGATGCACATTAATCGTGCTCACACTAGAGTGGTTTTAAATTAATGTGTATCAATGCGCATCAGTCTCACTTCACCTCCAGAGGTGGATTGATGTAAAGTGATGTGCTTTGATCAATGTAAACCAATGGCAACAAGAACAAAAAATGATACATAATTCAGCTGCTAGTGTGAACAAGATCAATGTGCTATATTTCAGCTGTATTAACAAAGTCCATCAAATGAATGCACCTTAAAAAACTGCCAGTGTGAAAAGGCCTATAGTCACACACAGTGAAGCTAATTTAGAATACACTGATTTAAGATGAATTTTAAAGTAGATGTTTATGCCAAAGTCTTAGGGGAATATCTCCTCTATAATAACATTACTTCAAGAACAAGTGGTGTATCTACTGTATAATGCCCTGCATGAGTACTAGCTAGGCAGTTAAGTTCTCATCAAATTAACTATTTAGAATAAAAAATAAATACAGAAATCAACCATAGATTAATTGACATTCATGTATAGTGAACAAAAATAATTATATTGTGTTTGCAGTGTGAATTCTATCAGTTAACTTATCAGTTAGTACCATTAATGATTAAATGAGTATAAAACCACTTATAGTGTATTTCTCTTTCCTCTCACGAGAGTTTCTGTGGCAGAAGGTATCTACAAATACACACACAGAGTTCATGATATGATACTACAAAACATGAAAGCATATACTTTAGTAATGACATTTATAATGTTTAGTAGGTCATAGGCATACACAATTACACATAGATGTACATGTACAGGTACCATATTTGCTCGATTAAATGCCCGGGCGTTTACTTCTTAACAGGAAAAAAAATCAGGTAAAAAACAGAAAAGCCTCTACTGAATTTGAACTCGCGACCTTCTAGCATTCCGAACTGTACTCCAACAGTTAGGCTATCTGGCACGATCTAAATCCTAAGGCACATGTACTGGCTAAAATATGTGTATCTATAACTAGAAAATATTTGTCATGGGTGTTTATTCAAGCAAATATGGTACATGTAGGTACATATATCATATAGAAGAAAATTTGCAATGGGACACAACTATGCATGCATATTATAATGAATGTTTAAAACAGCAATAGAATTACATGTAACACCAAGTAAAGTTTCAAAAAGTGTAAAAATTCATTTTTAGTGATTTATAGCAAAATTGCTAAAAAATCATAGTAATTTTTTTATTTGGAGTGTTTTTAAAAAATGGTTATAACAAGAAAATTTAAAGCTGGAATCAGCTTAAACTTTCTACGTAGCATAAGGGCATGAATTGCATTTAAAAGTGTAATAAAATTTTTGGCAGGGTGATTCTGGAGCCAATTATTAGGACAAACCGTATACAGTACAAGGTATTTTTCTACAATTTGAAGTTCTTTCAAAATAATCATAATCCAAATACTTTAAGTTGGAATCAGTTCAAACTTTCTACACAACATAAGGAAATTAATACGCATCAAAAAATAAAGTAAAAATTTTGGGTAATTTCAGAGCAGATTTTCACAAAAAACCTTACTGAGCTAGGGAATGAGCCCCCTGGCCTAATCCTAGATGTAATTCATATAGTCATAGTGGAAAATTTTCTTGGCCTAAAAATTTAGCAGATCTCTCCAAAAATCCACGATTTTCTATTAGTACAGTTGCTCAGGGGGTGTCACTGTAATGATAATAATGAATAATAATACAATGAATATAATACCTATGAGGATAGGTTATCGTAAATACTTACTATATATAGTGTCTAGTTCCTCTAGATTCTTTGTTAAATTCTCATTGCATGCCAAACTTTGTTAACATAACTTATCACAAGATTCAGAGACTACATGTAGCTCTGAAAACAGGAAACCTTGGAAATGACAAAGATTATAACCAAAAGGGAACATTAATAGACTGATTGAACAAATCATATGACTAACTGATATACAACAATAGTCAAATCATTAATTTCAGACATGAAGTAATAGTAATGAAGCACTATGGTGCAATGGACTCGCCTGTTGGAATTCACCTGAGTGATATGTATTACTTATACTGTGATATTTTAAGCAATTTGGAAAAAATTATTATTATTGACTGCATAGTTATAATGATAATTAAAATAAGCTATGGGTGTGGTCAAGAACTAGCTAAATCATGGCACATGGGTAGGAGAAAGAAGAAAAGCTGAAATTTATTTTAGCATCTGAAGCTCTATTCCAAGAAAGAGTTGGCTTAGAAAATTTTTCTAGATATTTAAAAGAGACTGAGAGAGATTGGTTGGAGTGCTCCTGCTTTCCCCAGCACTGCCTGAAAAATTCTCAAAGAGGCTAAATCACAAACTTTGAGCAACTGTAACTCACAAACAACGAAGTTAGGACAAAATCGTTCTTTTTGTTTTTCGTTAGATGGGATTTTCTACCTCTGAAGCAAATCTCGGCCCTGTAGAGTGAAACATGAGCTCTCACCTGAAGAGAGGTCCCCTGGTTTAGCAGTTCACAGCTTTTGGTGCCACGGGATGCTACAAGAGCATAACTAGATGAAAGAAAGCAACTTTATCTGTTGCTAGAAGAAGAAATAGAGCTCTAGACTGCTCAGACAAAAAGATAATTTTTTTACAAATTAATTAAACTGTGTGGACAGAATGACAGAATGACAACCCAACTGCTTAGTACCTGCCTACGCAAGCGTGGCGAGTCCAATAATTAATAATAATAGTAAAGAACACATCATGGTAATTCAAAACAATAATTTTGTCCATAAAATTTTTCTAAGTTAAATCAAATAAACTAAGTTCAAGGGGGAGCATAGGTATACATGTACAGTACTTTTTAAGTCTAAGATATTTTGCTGTAATTATTATTGTACATGTAATAAGGCACATGTGTATATGTACATGTACATGTACATGTATAGAATCCATTTATTGCACAACGAAAGTACCTTTTCAATCCCTTCCATCTCTTGTTCAATCTTCTTAATCTTTCTCTCAATAGTATTTGTTGATTCTAAAATATCATCAAGCTTCTTGAGACACTCGTCTAGAGCTGGATCAGTCTATCAAGTAATAAAATTAGAAAAAGATGTAAGACATATTAAGAGGTAAGCCTAAAGCACTTGCAGTTAGCATTACAGCAAAGTCAGTGTGGATGTAATACCTTTACCAGAAACTTTCAATACACATGCATGTACTATGCATGATTTGTACATGTACCTACACATGTAACTTAAAAATTTGTAATTAGCAAGAATTTGCAATAAAACCCTCATAGCTGACTTTAATTAATACAAGTGGATCGTACACAGCATGATTATGGATATTTGTAACTAAAAAAAAATTTTGCTCAAAATACAGACATACATACCTTTCTTCCCAATAGCATTATTTTGCTATTATTGTTTATTCCTGCTTCACTAACTAACTCATCTTCTTTCCTAAAAGAGCAGGGGCATATCCAGCAGGGGCTGAGGGGGGCTTGAGCACCCCCCTTATGGCTGGGCTTTTGCATCACTACCAAGCCTCCTAACAAAGTTATCTAGCCCCCTGATCATTATTTCAGCAGTTTCCAGTGCTTTCAGGAGCAATCAGAAGTTGTCAGAAGTACTAGATGCTTAAAATAATTTTGATCCCACCCGTAATTCACAAAAATGAAGGAAAACGCCTTTTTACCGCCGCAAAAAGGGGTGTGGCCAAAATTACAGTGCACTTTGTGCGCCCTCAGCACCTTCCTTTTCAAGTTTCTGGATACGCCCCTGAAGAGTCTTTCCTATTTAATAACGACTCATACTTAATCCCGTTGGATTACATAATGGACATATTGCAAATCAATTTCACTAATAATTATAACACCCACAATTAATACAGTATTATACCCTGATTACTTAATGACCCTCAGTTTTAGTACATACTACCAATGGTACATTACAAAAATTACATTAAAAAGATATTAATCTGCATCCAAAAACAAAATTAACAGTAAAAGTTACGATGTACATATCATGTACATGTACATGTACAGTATCATATTAACTCTGTGAGATTCAATATACAGAATCGTTAATAACTGACCTTTTAATATTAGTTTCTGTACTTCAATAGGAACTCCAAAATGAATGCTGAATTGCTGATGGAGTTAAAGACAAACAAGTACAATCAGTACTCTGAATCAGTAGTCTCCCAACAGACCACACCCAAACCATACCCTCTTATACCACACATGGTACCACGTGGGTATGAGCATGCGCAGATTGACTTGCCGCACTGGCTGACCACGTGTTGGACTTCTTCAGTCCTTTGAGCTTCTTCTCGTTCTTTTGTTCCTTGACTATTTTTGACTTCAAGACAGTACCTAATAATGTATAGTACCACTCTCTCTCCATCTTGTAGGTGATGTTTCAGAAATTGTTCAAAAGAAGGTGCTCGTTGAAGTTGTTGCCATTAGTTACGAGGAGCCACGCCCACTTAAAAAAAAACAGAAAAGCTGCAGAGATGATTTTAGCAGGTGTTGCATTGAAGCTAAAGTTAGTAACATACTGTGTGATGTAATTATGATGTCATGAACTTTTAGATAAAAATAAAATCTGTTGATAGTGTCAGTATCTATATTGAGTCAAATTTTACTTGTCAATCTGGAATCAGGTACAAAATAAGTTTTTAGTAAAAATATAATTTTAATTTTTCTAAGTATTTAGGAGGTTAATTTGACCTTTGTGTGTTCTGGTGACCTTTCAAACTGAAGCCCATATCATGACTTACAGTATTGAATTGATCATACACCTCTCTACCTCTCGGACTTTCTGCATTGCAAGATAGTCAGCATAAGGTATGTTATTAAAACTTTCTACATGAATATAACACGTAACATGTACACACAATACATGTACATGTACATCAATATGCATCAGAAAATGTAATGACAATAGAGGGTATTTTTGAGCCATTTTTATGTAGTACAGGGACCGTAGCCCAATTTTTACCACCTTTTAAAAATTTGTATAAAATCCAAACAGTATTGGAATCAGTTCAAACTTTCTACACAACATAAGTACATGTATATGTATCAGAAAAAATTATAAAAATGGAATTTTTCTCGTTTTCATTTTTGGCAACATTTTGCCACAGTTTGGCCCAATTTTTTGAGCAACTTTTAAAATTTGCAAAAAGATCCAAACTTGATTGGAATCACTTAAAACTTTCAGCACATTATAAGAAAACATATATGTATCAGAAAAATCATGAAAATGGAAAATTCTCTCTTAGTCAATTTTGACAAAATTTTGACGAAAATTCCTGTACTAAAGTACAAGATGTTTGACCCAATTTTTAATCCACGGACAAGAAGCTGCAGGAGCATTATGCCAAAATTCTGTAGGAAACCCTGCATATTACTCTGATTAATTCCATCTCTTTCAAATCAAGTATTAACTGAGAATGATGATACAACATTATATCATTAACCATCTTTCGGGACTGAATCCCTAACTGATGATTTGTATTAACTGACTCAGTTTATTACAATGTTTGCCTGCTACATGTACATGTACAGCAAAGTACATTAATATAGAATCAGTTAATAGTTTGTTGTACAGTATTAGTAATTACTTGTTTCATGTATGTGTAGGTCACTGCAGTATTTTGATAGTCTTTCCAGTTCATCTGAAGCATGACAACCATTGGAGCTTTAAACCTTTATTAACATAATGGAAGGTAAAGAGAGGAGGGACAGATTTGTATGTGAAGAGCGATTTTCTGAATTATGAAAATGAAGGCCTTGAAGGGA